CTACTACTACTACTACTACTACGACTACTACGACTACTACTACTACAACTACTACTACTACTACTACTACTACTACTACTACTACTACTACTACTACTACTACTACTACTACTACTACTACTACTACTACTACTACGACTACTAGCACTACGACTACTACGACTACTACGGCTACGACTACGACTATTACGGCTACTATTACGTGCCACTGGACATCCCGTTGATTTGTACGGACATAAGGAGCACCCGCTGCACAGAGAGTGCGGGCAGCTCTAGCTCAAAACAGGGGGGCTCGCGCCCGAGCGGTAGGCCAACAGGGCGCTGCTCGTTCCAGAGGGCGCCTCTTGCAGTGCAGCGGAAGGCCTGTGCGGGGTGCGTGAGGGGGCTCGGGGACGGGAGGGTACTTCGGATTCCATAATAAAGTAGGGGGGTCACATTTGGCGGGGGGTCTGATTTGAGCTGTCTTGAAGGGTTGGGGAGGGTCTGGGCAAAGTGCCGCCCTTTCATGGATGGTCTGGGGGGGTCTAAAACTTCTGGTCTGGGAGGGTTGTGGCCCCCACACTTTTATTACGAAATCTGGAGTACATTGCAACATCTCTGACACATCTTGGGTTCACTCTGGCCCTCCTCCTCATCATCAAAATCCTTCTTCTCCAGTCTGCCCCCTCCGAGGCTCCCGAGCAGTCCAGGACTCGTGAGCCCCCTGTTCCAGGAGGGTCTCGTCTGGGCGCCGGCGGAACGGCGCAAGCCTCCAGGGCGCGTGAACACAGAAGAGGGGCATGCGACTTCATGCGGGCCCCAAGAATATACACCACCACCACATCGACTCCTCCTCCCTCCTCTACTACCCTCCTCTTCCTATCCTCTCCTGGGAGAGGGAGGGGGTGAGGGAGGTGGTGGTGGTGGTGGTGGTGTATACTTTTGGGCCCCGTACTTCAGGCGTTGGCTTACGCAAGCGGCCAACTCCGCACATCACGTGTAAAACGGAGGTGCTTCTGCGCGACCTCACGCGGACAGCTCTTGTCTGCGCAGTTCCCCCCTTCCCCACCCCCCCCGTGTTTCTTCGTCGCACATATCTTGATTGAATGGCGACGGCCCTATCCTTCGACTGCCAGCCCAACCTGCAGCTATCTGAATGCAGCGCAACCCTGTGCCGTGCCTGTAGAAGCGGTCGCTGCCACCCACGAGGTCGCTGAAGCCGGGCCCGGCATTGCCTCCAATGCCCAGGAATAGATCGCGACTGCTCCTCACCCTCGACCTCCCTCCTGCCCCCTCGCCCCGCTCGCGAGCGGGAGCGCGCGGGGTGCAGCCGCGTCTGCGGCCCTCCGAAGACTACTGCATGCCTGAACGCACAGTGTGCACACCTACAGGCACCGTCGAAGCTTGTGCCGCGACCGCTGAAGAATATCTGCGCTTGTGGAGAGCCGTGCGCATTCAGAAGTCCGCCTGATGCAATACTGATGTGTGCTGTGCCCAACTGCGCAAACACGATTGCCAGAAAGACGTCTGGACACGATACATGGTGTTCATGACATGTGCAGCTCACAAAATTCAGCCATTAACCCCAGACATGCGACCTCAAAGCGCGAATACTCTCTGGACAGAGCGCAATACGAGTGACGCGTAAGGTTGTGACGGTAAAAATATACCGCTCCTCTCAAAACAGGCTTGAAGTTTTTGCTCCGCTCTGGCTAGCGAAAAAAACAAGAGACACATAGGATATGATTCAGGAACGCTGTTCCACTTCAATACTCTGTGTACATAACGCCGCAGACCACGTACACCCACGGCAGTGAAGGAGGAGATTCGTGTCTGCTGCCTGGCCCCTCTCTCGTGCCCAGCGCCCAGCCCCTTCCGTAGGCGATGCTGTCACAATACGCGTTCACAACGAAGATGAAGTACAGTGGCACGATTGCCAAGCCCTCCAGCCACCCCGACTTCCACAGGCGGCATGCAAAAGCAAGAGAGACATGGCAGCTAGACACACCTTATCGCATCTACACGTGAGGGATAATTCTTCATTCTCTATGAACTAATATGTGCTGTGTACGTGCATATCGCGTTGTACTTCTGAATTGCAGATTCGCACTTGAAGGGACTACTAAAAATTGGTTCATGGGCAGGTCAAAGCCATGAGAAAAATGGCCTACTCGTCATGATCACGATTATGCGAATCCTTGTTGGGCCTGCACGTGTGAAGCCATGCGATGCCAGCAGATCGGGAGCGCCGACCAGCCAGCCCATCGACATCCGTACCATTCTCCCTCCAAAAAAAGCTTGGATGGATACCCCCCGGGCCGCTCCCCAACGACAAGGGTGTTCACGATGCGGAATACGCCGCATGTCACTGCGGTGGCCTGCGGGGGGACAGGAGACCCTTCACATAACAATCGTGGCAACAAGCGGCTCGTGCATTGCAGCTTGAACGCAACAAGGGTACCGTCAAAATGATAGTTGTGCGTCTTGCGAACGCACCGCGCATGCGACGCTATAAGAGTTCCCTCAGACACACAAATGCGCACATACACTCGTAACTCCCATGCGCTCGATTACTCGTAGAGTCGTGAGTTCGCCCCCACCTGATGATCCTTGAGCATTCAGAAACCACACCACGTATGATAGTACGCAATGCACGCACCGACGCACATGCACAGAAAATTGAACACCAAGTGTTCCAAAGAGTGTGTACGTGCTCGCGAAACTGACTCTATGCACAGCGCTGTCGCAGCACACTTCTCGGCATACGCATGTAAACACCAACTCATGAATACACACTCGAGCATGCTGCCTTGTGCACACCAGGGAACCTCCAGATGCTTCCAGAAAGCCACAGGGAGTGTCCGAGGGCACCTAGCAACCTCCAAAGAGCCTTGCGGCCTCCAGGAACCTAGAAGCCTCCACTCGCGAGCGCGGCGCCACACGGTCGAAGCCGCATCCCACTGCCATGCACCCTCCCTCACTACCTTCCCACGTCCCCATCCTTGCCCGCCCATTGCTTCTGGAGGGTAAAACAACAAGGACCATGACAAAGACTGTACGCGGAAACGTCGTGTCGGTCTTGCTTACCGTCGATCTTGGTCAGCGTCATTTCGTGGATCCCCCTCGCGAATCGGCGACGGCCGACATGGATTATGACCAAGGTCGGCATCGACAAGATCCCGCGACAGCTTGGTCATGGTCCCCGTTCTTGTTCCCTCGATTCGCACTCGCCTTCCTTCTGGACGATTGAAGCCATCCCCCACCCCACCACGGAACCCATTCGCCCCGCCGGCCGACCGACACCCCCCCCCAGGGTGGGATGGGTAACGCCCCTTGGGTTTCGCAGCATCCATCCCCACCGAGGGGGCTGCATGCTGTGAGAGCCGCACTGCCCTGTCCCAGCAGGGATTCGGATGGCTCTGACGATGACGATTCCCCGCCCTCTCCCCCCTCCCTTCCTGAGGGACAACGAACAGGGGCACGGGCTCCCCCGCCTCCCTAGCGTTGTGGATGTCATGACAATGGACACTCTAACAATCTTATCATTGAACTAAAGATGCGCTTAAAATGTGGAAAACATGTTCTAAGAACGTTTCAAACATGTTTTACATACTAAAACATGTTTGAAACATGTTCTGGACATCTGGGATCGATTTGGCAGCACGCTCCCTCTCCATTCACCGACTGCCACAACTCTGGCGTTGCCCCCCTGCCCTCCCGCCCTCCCCCCCCTGCGGCAGTGGTCGGGAGCGGTAAAGAGGGGGGTGTCCAAGAGGGGGGGGGTGCAAATCATGACCGGCGGCATGTGCGCGGCCCAGCAGGGGGGCCGGGACGTAATGAAATAAGAAGAGGCGCTATGAAACCTGGAGAATATCATGGCCCACGCCATGAGATCCACCCCCCCTGGTCATCACCCCCCTCTTTTCCCCCCCCTGCGGCAGCAGCGGAGGCACCACGCCGTTGAGGAGCACCGGGATGCTCTCGCCTTACGGCCGGCGAGGGCACCGCTGGCCGCCGGCGGCCGCTCCTCCTCCTCCTCCTCCTCGTCCTCCTCCTCCTCCTCCTCCTCCTCCTCCTCCTCCTCCTCCTCCTGCTGCTCCTCCTCCTCCTCCTGCTCCTCGTCCTCCCCTCCTCCTCCTCCTCCTGCTCCTCGTCCTCTTCGTCCTCCTTCCTCCTCCTCCTCCTCCTCCTCCTCCTCCTCCTCCTCCTCCTCCTCCTCCTCCTCCTCCTCCTCCTCCTCCTTGAGGAGCGGCGGCCGCCGGCCGCGCCGGCCGCGGGCGGTGCAGCCGCGGGCGCCCGCGGCGGCCCTCCGGCCAAGGGCGGCGCCCCGCCGCTCTGCCGGGCAGGCTCACCATCGCTCGGGCGCCCACTCGCCGCGCACCCTTCGGCGTCGGGCGTGTACGCTCCTGTCGCGAGGTGGTCCCAGGTGCTCCTCGACTGAGGAGCCCGTTCTCCACCACCACCACCACCACCACCAGAAGTTGGAGGGGGGGAGGAGAGGAGGAGGAGGAGGGAGGAGGGAGGAGGAGGAGGAGGAGGAGGAGGAGGAGGAGGAGGAGGAGGAGGAGGAGGAGGAGGAGGAGGAGGAGGAGGCGGAGTAGGAGGAGGAGGAGGAGGAGGAGGAGGAGGAGGCGGAGGAGGAGGAGGAGGAGGAAGAGGAGGAGGAGGAGAAGGAGGAGGAGGAGGAGGAGGAGGAGGGGAGGAGGAGGAGGAGGAGTGGTGGAAAGCACGCCCTCCTCCTCCTCCTCCTCCTCTCCTCCTCCTCCTCCTCCTCCTCCTCCTCCTCCTCCTCCTGCCTCCTGCTCCTGCTCCTCCTCCTCCTGCTCCTCGTCCTCCCCTCCTCCTCCTCCTCCTCCTCCTCCTCCTCCTCCTCCTCCTCCTCCTCCTCCTCCTCCTCCTTGAGGAGCGGCGGCCGCCGGCCGCGCCGGCCGCGGGCGGTGCAGCCGCGGGCGCCCGCGGCGGCCCTCCGGCGAAGGGCGGCGCCCCGCCGCTCTGCCGGGCAGGCTCACCATCGCTCGGGCGCCCACTCGCCGCGCACCCTTCGGCGTCGGGCGTGTACGCTCCTGCCGCGAGATGGTCCCAGGTGCTCCTCGATTGAGCAGCCCGTTCTCCACCACCACCACCACCAGAAGTTGGAGGGGGGGAAGGAGTAGGAGGAGGAGGAGGAGGAGGAGGAGGAGGAGGAGGAGGAGGAGGAGGAGGAGGAGGAGGGATGGAGGAGGGATGGAGGAGGAGGAGGAGGCGGAGGAGGAGGAGGAGGAGGAGGCGGAGGAGGAGGAGGACCCCCCTGCAACTTATGGTGGTGGTGGTGGAAAACACGCCCCATCATCGATGGTCCTCGCCAACAAACGCGAGGGAGACCAGGCACCGGCAGGTGGGCGGAGGGCGCGGTGCCGTGCTCGTCGGGGCGTGGCCTCCCCGCGGCGGTGGCCCCCACCGCCCCTGCAGCAGGATCGGTCAGCCTCGGATTGGGAGATCGGACAAGGTCGGGACGCGAGTCTTATGTCGGGCGTGTCCCCCTACAGGGGGATTTTCGACGAAAATTGTTTTTCATGACAAAGAATATATCTATAACACCCAAAAGAAGTCAAAAAAATTCTCCAAAAATAGTCCCCAGACTATTTTTGGACTATTTTGAAGATTCCCCTTGTAGAGGGACAGGCCCCACTTAACGCGAGTCGGATCCAGCCGCATGGGCACGGAGTCGGGACCGGATTGGAGCGGCTGCGCCAGGATGCACAGCAACGCTGTGCCAGGATGCCCTTTTTGTTCCATAAGTTAAACTTCGATTTCCTATCGAAAACACAAGGGAAACCTGAGGCAAGCAGTGAAACACTTAAGGAACGCGGAGCCCCTCCCCAACCAAAAGGGTTCCTTCTTCAGGGCCCCGACTGCATCGGGCCGCATCAGATCGCCTGGAAATCGGAGAGTCGAACCCGATCGAGCGGGCCAGAACCGGCCCCGGATCGATCGGATGGATCGGATCGAAGTGGGCTCTGTGCTGGGAATGGGAGTCGGCGGTGGACAAACCTCCCTTTAGTAAATCTCCCTTTAGTAAAAACGGCCTGGGACCGAAACCGACGGACCTGGACCCGCAAAAATGACGGACGCGACGCCCTCTCGCGAACCGAAAACGGCCAATTCCTCAATCGACGTGTCAGGGTAGGAGGTCTGTCCACCCCCGAGGGAGGGACGGGAAACGGGCCTTCCCCGTGCCTCCAGGAACGCCCCCACCTTTTCAGAAGCACCCCCCCCTTCTCCGGAAGGCCACCTCGCGCCACCACCTCGTGCGCGCCACCAACAGATCGAGCCAGAGCAGGTGGGGTCGGAGAATCGCGCCGCATCGCCCATGCATCGGCGAATTCGTCGGCGAAACCGGCGCGGAGAAGATCCTGCCCTGGATCGAGCCACCTCGGTGACGCGGTGCGCGGTGTCACCATCCGACCCCGTCCACTCTGGCCTCACATTTTTGGACGGGCGGGGAAAATATGGGCACGATGCCCAACAACAAATGCTGTCCAAAGCCGACGGTGGTCGCTGTTGGGCAGACGGCCTTCCGCCTCGGATGGACAGCGTTCGCGGCGACACCGACAGCGAGTCCTGTTCAAAAGCAGCAGGAGCCGCTGCTGGTCTATCGTACCCGTTCTTTCCGTACCCACGTCGATCGTACCGAACCTTGGGCAGCCTGGAGCCCCGGGCCAGTCGGGGTCGTGCAAGGGGGAGCGTCCAGGAGGCACGTTCGCGGCCCGGGGAGGAGAGCCAATCATGGTCCGAGGCACGTGCGCGGCGCGGGGGGAGGGGGGGCAGGGGACGCACTGAAACCCCACCAGCCCTTTGCGCTAAGGTACATGTGCTCCTCTTCCAAACCACCATCTTCCCTTCGGGCAGGGGTACCCTCCCCCTCCCCTCCCTGAGGTTGATTGGGGGGTCCGCGAGGTGTCAGGGTGCCGAAAAATGGCCAGCGATGGCTGGAAATGGATCTTTCCAAAACCCACGAAGACGGATGCGATGAACTGCTGGGCCGCATTCTGCGATGCATCCCTCATTAGAGCATCTCGACTGGCGTCTGTTGCTGGATGTTAATGGGCCGATGGGGATACTTTTTGGTCGCGGGCAGACGCGTAAAGCTGTCGCCGAGAGGGGTGTCCGGGGCACGAGCGACGCGCAAGCGTCGTCCAGAATGGGAAAGCAAGGGCCGTGAAATCTGGCAAGATATCAGGGCCCCTGGTCATGCCCCCCCCTCTTGGCCACCCCATCCCCCCGAAGAGCCCCAGGCCAGGGGTGCCCCTGGCGGCGTCGGGAACTCGTGACTCGGGCCCTCCCCAGGCCGTACCCCCCCTGCGGGGTGCCTCCCGCCCCGCGGGCGGCGCCGCGCGAGCGCAGGCGCGCCCCCCCCCCCCACTTGGGGGCGTCCGAGAGGGGAGCTCACCGATCGTGGCCATCGACAAGTGCGCGGACGACGGGGGGGCCAGGGGGGTTCGTGTCTCCAAAAAGGACAGGGGCCATGACATCTGGGGAGACGGCGTGGCCCCCCGGCCACGCCATCCGCCCCGCTCCCCCAGCCGCCCCTCCAGAGGGCACCGGCGCCCGGCCGAGCCCCCGGCAGGGGCCGGAGAGGACGAGATCCTGCGGGCAGGGCGGGGGCAGAAACCAGGCCGGGCACCGCCTGCACGCGCGTCTCGTCTTAGGTCGGGCGCGTCCCCCTACAAGCGGATTTTGGGGCGGAGAATGAAAAATGTGCAAAAAAAAAAAAAAAAAAAAAAAAAAACAAAAAAAAATTACACCAACCATATGCAAAAATGGTCCAACAGCCGTCCCCAGACTATTTCTTTACCGTTTTGACTGTTCCTCCTGTAGAGGGACAGGCCCGACTTCAGTCTCGTCACACCCTGCCTCGTCCCCAGTCCCCCTCGCGTCGTGAGAAGGTCACGGCGGGAGGCTGTTTCCTGCCGCGGAGGGCCCTCGCCGGACCCCGGGAGCGTCAAAGAACGGCTCGGGATGGGAAGCCAGTCTTGGGGGATGGGTCAGGGCCTCTGGAGGTCGGAGTCATGGAAAAAAACATGTCGAGGGTCTGGGTCCATCTCTCCCCTCTCGATCACGCCCTCTGTCTTCTCCTCCACTGGCCCCCCTCCCCCGTTTGCGTACGGTGCCCTGGCCGCACGTCTCCTCATCCCGGGGGATGCTCGCGAATCATGACCCCGGTGGCCCAAAGCCTACCTGTCTGTACTGTGGCCCGCGTTGGCACGAACACGCCATCTCCCGAGACATGCACGCGCAAGGAGAGCTGAGCGGATCGAGGGCTGCGCCGCATGCGGGGCGAAGAGTGGGAAGAGAGAGAGAGAGAGAAAGGCGGGGACGCCGAGAGGCAGCGGGGGGCGACCGACCGACAAACCTCAGGAGGGAAAGAAGCACAGAGACACAATGAGTCGTCGATTCCCCAGAACATATGGGAAAGTACGGGAAGCGGGGGGAAGACACAGACCCAGAAAATATAGCAAAGTAGAGGGGGATCCTGTGGTTTGTGTATCCTTATGTGTGTGCCCTTGGGCCCCTGGAGAACCTTCCAGGCGCAGGCGGGCCCACGCCGGCGCGCCTCCTCGCGCGCACGTGCACGCCCTGGCCTGCGGCAGGGGCGCAGGGCGTGGCTCCCCCCACGCACGGGAGCGGCGGGCAGAGGCGGGCGGGGAGAGGAGGGCCGCGCTGCCCGCGGCGGCGGGAGGGCAGACTTCCCAGGAGGCGGTCGAGGGCGCCGCGAGTCTCCGAGGTCACCCGTCGGTGGCGGCAGGTGGGAGCGCCCGTGGCCGGCCCACTGCGCAGAGCTGCACGAGTGCTGCGCGAGCCAACAACGAGGCCCTGCGCCCAGCAGCGGGCGTGAGGGCCAGCCAGGAGCATTCGGCGCGAATCGAAGGAAGCCAAGGGCACCCGAGTTCGGGGGCGATGCGAAGTCGACAAACATGTTGATCTATTCGATAGATCCGGCACCGGTAGCAAGAACGCCTCCCCTTTCAGGCCATGCGCCACATATCGCCCAACCGTGCCCTACAGTGCTAGGAATACAACTACCAGAACCACGCGCGCTTCGCGCGCGCTCAGGTTCTAGTAAGCATCGGCCCTTGGCAAGTTCACTGCTGCGGGCATGTACGCATGTTGTTCACAGCTGCTCGCAACGCCTTGACAAATTCACATCCGTAGTGCTGTGCCCTGCATTGTGCGAGCCGTTCAATGCGCTCTCGCCGCCATCGTTGTCAATGCAATGGCCGCTGTTGCCGCCGTCGCCGTAGCCGTCGTCGTCGTCGTTGTCGGGCCCCGTATGGGCCCTCTCCGGAATCGTCCTGGGGGCCTCTGTGGCCGTCTTGGAGCTTTCTCGGGGCCGTCTTGGAGCTCTCTCGGGGTGTCTTGGAGCTCTATTGAGTCTCTTGGGCAGCATTGGGGCGTCCCTGGAGGCGTCTCGGGCCTCCTGGGAGCGTTGGGACGCCGAGAAGGCGAGAAAACCAAAATACCCCAAAAATCCCCGATTCATGAATGAATTGCGCCTCTCGGGAGGCCTCGAGGCTGCTCTTGGAGACCTCGTGGAGCCTCTTCGGGCGTCTTGGAGGCCTCTTGGACAAAGCGGCGCCAATTCTGGCCAATCTGGGGCCGTCATGGGCCAGTTTGGCAGTAGCGCAGCACGTGTTCACGCAATCCTGGGCCGTCTTCGGGCGATTTCGGAAGGCCCCCCCGCGCGCCGGCAGGGCCCTGGGCAGCCCGGTCCATACATTTGTGGTCGGGGGACTGGCCGGGAGGCCTCTGGACCCGCTTCCCCACCGTATGTATATACGCACACATACATACATACATACATACATACATACATACATACATACATACATGCATGCATGCATGCATGCATACATACATACATACATACATACATACATACCTACCTACCTACCTACCTACCTACCTACCTACCTACCTACCTACCCACCTACCCACCTACCCACCTACCCACCTACCCACCTAGCCACCTAGCCACCTACCTACCTACCTACCTACCTACCTACCTACCTACCTACCTACCTACCTACCTACATACATACATACATACATACATACATACATACATACATAAAAGCATGCATACATGCATACATACATGCATACATGCAGGCATGCATGCATACATACATACATACATTACATACATACATACATACATACACATACATACATACAGCATGCACACATACATACATACATACATACATACATACATACATGCATGCATGCATGCATGCATATACACATACATACATACATACATACCTACCTACCTACCTACCTACCTACCCTACCTACCTACCCACCTACCCACCTACCCACCTACCCACCTACCACCTAAGCATACATACATACCACACATACATACATACATACATACGCATGCACACATACATACATACATACATACATACATACATACATACATACGTACGTACGTACGTACGTACGTACGTACGTACATACATACACACATACATACATACATACATGCATACATACATACATACATACATATATACATACGTACATACATACATACATACATACATACATACATACCTATATACATACATGCATACATACATACATACATGCATGCATACATACATACATACATACATACATACATACATGCATACATACAGACATACATACATACATACACACTTACATACATACATGCATGCATGCATGCATGCATACATACATACATATAGACATACGTATACACATACATGTGTGAGTTGATATGTGTATGTACACCCATATATAGCTACATATATACATACATACATGCATGCATACACACATGTATGTACGTAATGTATGGATGGATATGTGCATGCATGTATGTATGTGTGTCCGCCTGGTCAATATGTCTGTATGTCGGTATGTCGTTATGTATGTCTGCATGAATGTATGTATGAATGTGTGTACGTATGCATTCGCGTATGGATGCATGTATGTATGTGTATGTGTTTAGGTATGTGTATTTGTATGTGTATGTTTATGCGTATGTGTTTGTGCATGTGTGTATGTATGTACGTACATATGTATGCATGTGTATATATGTATATAGAGAGAGATGTATGTACGTATGTATCCGTGTATGCATATGTGCATGTATAAATGTACGCGCATGTATGTATGCATGCATGTGTGTGTGCGTTTGTATATACGTATGTCTGTGTATATATGGGTGTATTTGCACATGCATATACGCATACATATGCATATGCATATACATAAACAAACAAAAAAAAACATGCGACTACCATTTGCAGATGCAGTTACAAGCTTACATACATGTATGTGGACATAGGCAAATACGTCTCCATATACATCTACATATATGTAGTATGTAATTCCATATGTGCAAACATATGCATGTGCAAAAGCATACACCTATATATTATCATACGCACCTCTCCGAGGGAGTAGAGCTCAGAGCCGGTTAATTGAAGGCGGCGTTCGCGATGTTTCTGCCGTTTCGCTGGGGACATCCTCGAAATTCTGAAAATCGGTGGCACCCCTCACGCAGATCGTGACGTCAGGGTCCAAAAACACATGGGAATGTCAACATTCTAACATAAAACCATCCAAACAACATTGTAATTTCAGTGATTTTGACCCCGATTCTCAGAGAATGGCGATTTCGCCTGAGACATCCTCCCAAAATCGAGCCCCGACGTACCTTCTGGTACCTCAGACCCCGCCGCGGAGCCTCTTGGGAGCCTCCTGGAACCTCCTGGGGCCTCCTGGGGCCTTCTATATCTTCTGGTACCCCAGACCCCGCCTCGGAGCCTCCTGGGGGTCTCCTGGAACCTCCTGGGGCCTCCTGCGGCCTCCTGGAGCCTCTTGGGGCCTCCTGGAGCCTCCTGGGGTCTTCTGGGGCCTCCCGAGGCCGCCTGGGGCCTCCTGGGGCCTCCTGGGGCCTCAGAACTACATGCACACACAGAGACACAAATCACACCCAACACATCACACGCTAGACAAACATAACACACACATAACACCTACAACGCACAGAAAACCCGCACAACACAGAGCACATATCACACACACACACACACACACACAACACTCACAATCCCGGGGCCTCCTGGAGCCTCTTCCGGTATCCAAGTCGGGCCTCCTGAGGTTTCCTGGGGGGCCCTGGTACACACATCGCAAGGTGTGGCAACTCCACTTGCGCTCGAGTGCGACCTCGATCTTAGATTCTTCTGCGTTCACCCCCTGCCTCTTCCCCTTTTCTTAGGCACGCCCTGGCGGCGCCGTCCCAGCTTCCCCTTCTCCATCTCCGATCCTGCAGTCATGGTGTCTTCCTGCTTCAAACTCCCTTTCAGTTGTTTGTTGTATGAGCCTGGGCACACACGTGACACGTGTGTATATATATATATATATGTGTGTGTATACATCTATACATATATATACATATATATATATGCGAAAATACACACATACACATAGGCATATACACGCTCAATTATCCCTCGTGGCACAGCAGTGTTCAACGTTCGGCGACTCAGTGCCCAGCGGGCTTGTATCTAGCAAGGAGCGTCGCTCTCGCAGAGCGGACACTCTCCAAATCTGCAGTAGGCTGGGATCGCTTGGCTGGGTCCAACTTCGAATGTATGTTGTCGACATGAAAAGCAATAGTCGCGCGCTCCAAAGCCAGGCGCTGTGAGTAAACATCTGCGATCTCGCAACAGAGGCCGAGGCGCGCAGGGAGTGGATCAGGAAATGGGGACGTTGGGACCCCAGGCACTGCGGATGGTGCTCCAAACGGGGGAGCAGTGCACTTAGTGAGGCATGGCGTCAAGGGCACTCGGGGTCTCAGCGCGGCAGCATCCGAAAGCACAGGGTGCATCTATGCTCCCCGAGGAGGTGTGCAGGCGACGACTGGTGGTCCATCCACCCGCCCAGGTCTTGATTAGGGCAGAGTGAGCCGCTGGGGGAACAGCTGACGAGAGAAGCTCTTTGAGCGACTCCCATGCGCACACATGTGCACATGAATAAATACATGCACGTTCGGCTTACACACACACACACACACACCTGCACATAGACACGCACTTACACATACGATTACACATACCTGCATACATACATATATACGTATAAGCTCATATACAAAGATACTTATACACATATCTGCATATATACATTCGTACATGTGTACAAACAGTTATATAGACACACAAACATGTACGTACGCTGAGCCGAGAAACGGCGAAAGATGGCCTTCGCCATGCAGGCCACGCACGAAGAATAAACAGGCATCATCAGGCGCATTGATAAACCCCACAGCACTTCGTAGCAGACGGTACTTTCAGAACCTCCTAGGCTAGAGTGGGCACAAGGGACAAGGGCTTGCGCGTCCTTGATCACGAATCCCATCATGATGATGTAGCACGCTACTGCGTAATACCAGTAGACACGCACAATCGTCTCCGACTTGAGAATGGTGCCTTGGCGCACCCGCAAAAGGAACGTGGCGGACATTGCACATCCTGGATACCCCAAGATCGCTCTCTCTCTCTCTCTCTCCCTTCGGGGTCTTCGTTTTTCTTGGCGGCGTGCGCCAACCTTCAATCGCTTCCGCCAGCAAAGCCGTTCTCATTTCACGCTCGCCAGCTTCCGCCGGCCTTCCGCGGACCTTCCGCCGAGAGCGAGAAGCCAACTCCTGAGTTCCTCGAAGACGAGGCCCTCTCTAGAGTGCCATACGTGGACGCCACGCGACCGTCTTCACAGAATACGCCCTGTATGCCCCAAGATCGGTTCTGCCCTTCCCTCGACAGGCCAGAGAGGCACCGCCAGCACCAGAAATCGCGCGCGGTTGGCCTCAATCGGCAGCGGCTCACCTCGTAGTCCGCCTCGCCGACCCGCAGAAGTGGCGCCGACCGGGAACAAAAGCCCGCGCCTGCCGCAGACCTCCGACGTCGTGATCCGTTTGATCCCAAAGCTTTCGCCCCGAGCCACGGGGACCACTGGGGCTAGCGACGTGGAGGGAAAGACAACAATGACCATGACCCAGACTGAACGCGCAGCCGTCGGTGCCGATCTTGATCATCGTCCGTCTTGGACATCGTCAATTCGAGGATCATCTTCGCGAATCGGCGACGGCCAGCATGGAACACGACGGAGGCTGGCGCCGACAGGATCCCACGAGATCTTGGCCATGGCCGCTGCGCTTCCTCCCTCGGCGACGGGCCCTTCTCGGCGCGCTGGTGCTCGTAGGCGATACATCCGAACTCTGGCCCCCACCAACCATCGATTCTCCCGAATCGATGGACGGCGAGGGCAGGGTTCGAATTCCGCCACGTAATCGAGGACTTCCGAACCCCACCTCCGCCGCCCATCGAGTTGCCTGAACCCTTGTTTCTGGGGTTGCTAGAAGTGCCCCCGGCCCAAGGTGCCCCCGGCTTTTCGCTCCATTCTGGAGCCCCTCGCGCCCTCTGGGCATCGTGAGGGGTGCCCTGGAGGCCGCGGGGGCCTCCTTGGAACTCCTGGGGGCACCTTGGGCCAGGGGCACCTCTGGCAGCCCGCGATTGTCGGCGGTGGACAAACCTCCCTTCAGCAAACCCCCCTTCGGTGAACACTGCCTGGGGCCCACACCGACGGACCTGGACCCGCAAGAATGACGGCCGTGACGCCCTCCCGCGCACCGAAAACGGCCAATTCACTGATCCACGTGTCGGGGTACACGCGACTGGCAGCACGCGACTGGTCGGCGGAGCGCACGCCCCTGCCGGACCTCCGCCTCCCCCCGGACACTCCGGTGCGGGCCGCCGGCCACCCGCGGGAGCCCCTCCCCCCCCCGCCAAGAGCACGCGCGCAACCGCCCACGGCTCCCCGCCTCACCGCGGAGAGAAGCGCGATCACGCTGCCGGTGTGCGCCCCCGCGCAGGTTGGCTGGGCTCCGAATCTGAGAGCAGACCGGACGAGTAGCGCAAGGGGAATGGCGAGAGAACGAACGAGCAAAAAGTCAGCCTCTTCGTCAGCACAAATCACCCAAGCGCCATTCACAGCGAAGAGCGGGCGACGAAGACTTCACCAATTGTACCAAACAATTCATTCGATGAGCGCCGCGGACCCGAGGGAGCCGCAGACGGACGTGCGGTCCGAAGTACGTGCATGAATAGCGACTACCCCCTGGCCGTGCAAAGCAAGGGAACGATGATCGGCTGATTCTACATTGCGTTATCTTGACTGCGGTCCTCCACCAAACCTCCATCTCGAGCTACCCTCCAACATCTTCTCCACTCCTCCTACTCCTCCTGCTCCTCCGTCTCGTCCTCTCTTCGTCCACCGCACAAGATGCGGACGGAATTTCCATCCGCATGTTGCGCGGCCGACGGGCTCGCGCACGCGGCCCCTGATCTCACGTAGAGATGGGCAGAGATGTGAAGGGTGGAAGCGGTCAGCCTTGATGGGGGAAGCAGAGAACCAGTGATTTTTGCAGCGATTGAAACGTGCCTGGGAAACCGTTAAGCCGAATTAACCGAAATTACCCCAGTGCGACCCGACCTAGAAGTTGGAGCCCCTGGGAAAGCAGCATTAGTTGCTATGCTATGCTCTGCTATGCTATGCTATGCTATGCCATGCTATGCTGCGCTATGCTATGCTATGCTATGCTATGTTATGCTAGGCTAGGCTATGCTATGCTGCGCTATACTATGCTATGATATGATATGCTAAGCTATGCTGTGTCCTGCTGCGCTGTGCTATGCTAAGCTATGCTATGCTATAATATGCTATGATAAGCTGCGCTATGCTACGCTATGCTATGCTATGCTTTGCTGCGCTATGCTATGCTATGATATGATTGGCTATGTCATGCTATGATAAGCTATGCTAATGCAGCGCTGCGCTATGCTAAGCTAAGCTAAGTTGAGCTAAGCTAAGCTAAGCTAAGCTAACCCTCTAGACAGAGCCTAGGTAGGGAATTACACCCATGCTAATGCTATGCTACGCTCTGCTATGCTACGCTATGCTATGCTATGCTGCGCTGTGCTATGCTGTGCTGTGCTGTGCTGCGCTATGCAATGCTATGCTATGCTATGCTGCGTTATGCTATGATATGTTGGGTTATGCTATGATATGCTGTGCTGCGCTATGCTATGCTACGCTATGCTATGCTATGCTGTGCTCTGCTATGCTAAAGCTCAGCGAAGCTAAGATGAAGGTAAGCTAAGCTAAGATAAACCTGAGCTAGGATGAAGCTAAGCTAAGCTAAGATGAAATAAGCTAAGCTAAGATGAGATAAGCAACGCTAAGCTAAGGGGACGCAACTGGGGGAACCGCGGGGCGGATGCCGGGGGAACCGCCCGGGGCGAGGAACACTGCCCGGCCCCTTTAAGCTCAGAGAGTAAGAACCCTTCTAGGCAGAGCCTAGGTAGGGAATTAACCTGCCAAGGACGAAGCCGGACTAAACCACTAGGCCGGATTAGGCGGAACTGAACGGGAATAGGCCGGACTAGGCAGACACACTTACACACACATACACACACACACACACACACACGCACACGCACACGCACACGCACGCACGCACGCACGCACGCACGCACGCACGCACGCACGCACGCACACACACACACACACACACACATATGTATATATATATATATGTATATATACACACACAAGTGGCACGTGTGTGCCCAGGCTCATACAAAAAAAAACTGAAAGGGCGTTTGAAGCAGGAAGACACCATGACGGCGGGATCGGAGATGGAGAAGGGGAAGCGGGGGCGGCGCCGCCAGGGCGTGCCGAAGCGAAGGGGGAAGAGGCAGGAGGTGAACGCAGAAGAATCTAAGATCGAGTAGGAGCCCCCCCCCAAAGGATTGGGGATCGAGCAGGAGGCCCCAGGCGGCCAGGAGGCCCCAGGAAGCTCCAGGAGGCCCCAGGCGGCCTCAGGAGGCCCCAAGAGACCCCAGGAGCCTCCAGGAGGCCCCAAGAGGCTCCAGGAGGCCGGAGGATGCCCCAGGAGGCCCCAGGAGGTTCCAGGAGACACCGAGGAAGCTCCGAGGCGGGTCTGGGGTACCAGAAGGTACAGAAAGCCCCAGGAGGCCCCAGGAGGTTCCCGGAGGCCCCCAGAAGGCTCGGAGGCGGGGTCTGGGGTACCAGAATGTACGTCGGGGCTCGATTTTGGGAGGATGTCTCAAGCGAAACCGCCATTCTCTGAGAATCGGGGTCAAAACCCTTGAAATGACTATGTGTTCTTGAAGGTGTTCTGTTAGAATGTTGAAATTCCCATGTGTTTTTGGACCCTGACGTCACGATCTGTGTAAGGGGTGCCGACGATTTTCAGAGTTTCGAGGGTGTCCCTACCGAAACGGCCAGAAAAATCGCGAACGCGGCGCGTACGCATCACTCGCCTCTGAACTCTACTCCCTCGGAGAGGTGCGAATGAATATATATATATATATATATATATATATATATATATGGTCCTCGGCGCAGAGGGTCCTCAGGCGCGAGCAGCAGAAGGAAGCACTTTTTGCGACCGAGGACCGCCGATAGCGCAGCGAACGAGCGTCGCACAGTGCGACGTGCAAGCGATGGGTGGGTCAGAGGATCTGTAAGTCCATAAGCACATGCCGCGGCCAGAAAATGAGGAGAGCACTCAACTCAAAGCGAACTGAAGCGCGACAGCCCGAGGCGAATTGTGGCCGCTGGATCACCAGTGCGGGGTTAGACAGTGAATAATAATGATAATAATCATTAACGGAATAATGGTAGTTAAAATATATATACATATATACTATACATTAATTCTAATAAAAAAAATAATAATAAGAATGATGATAATGATGATAATGATGCTAATATGCTAGGCAGATGGGTGCTGTGGCCAAACCAACGGTCCAACGAAGCGGATGGGTACAGCATTGGCAGCAAAAGGACCCGCACCGCAATCCGACCACGATGATAGGTGGGGTATCCAACGACGCGTGACAACGCTGGCCGCAGCGAAACAAAGACGTTGTCATCAGCGCGCCCAATATTCACCCACGAATGGCGCGCGAATGAAAGCTTGATCGCACAACCTGTCAGCAAACATAAACCTGCCGCATCCCAACGCCTGTCAAACGGACAAATGTGAACAACATCAATGTACCGTGCCACTGAAAAGGCAAACGAGCGCGGATTGGCCGCCCAGCCAAGACCGCCGCCAAGATCGAAAACAATGGAAGTTACAAATAGAAGACGAGCAAAATGGAGTAGCGCGGGAAAACGCGCGGTCGTGCCACACGACATGGCGGCCACGAGCGACGCATCCGCCCACGGCGCGCGCACCGCGACTGCGCGCCAGGAAAGTCAGGCAGCCAGGGCACTCAGCAAAGAGCGCCGCACCAGCCGCAGCGACGAAGCCCTCCAGAAGGAGCACCCTGACGGGCGCCGCATCACCGCGCCCCCCGGGCACCGACCCCTTGCCCAGGCCCCCCGCAGCTCGGCCAGCCAG